CATACATGCGAGTCAGTAAAATTATTTTATATTAGTTTATGAAATTATCAATTTAAGTATGTAGATAATATATGTATACGTGCACACTTATGTACATCTCGCAAACAATTTGAAATAAAATAATTTCTTAATAAATGTACAAATAAAATTTGGAAAGGTGATTTTGATTAAGATTGTTTAAGAGATAAAAATTAAAAAGTTGTGAAAAAGTCAGTTAAGAATAAGTAAGCGTATTTAAAGTAAATGTGTTAAATTGATTGTTCAATGATAACAACTGTTTGCTTTGTCAGAATCTGAAGTAGTACAGTATATGGTAAAATACTTATATATATATAGCATAAGAACTACTTTAACTACTTATGAATATGTAATTGATTTTGAAACTATAGAAATATGAGCTTAAAATAAAATTTGACTTTAGCTTCAAAATTACACTTTAGTACTTACCATAAATAAGTAATTAGTAAATAGTTCTTAGCCTTATTATTTACTACGTATTAATAGTAAATTTAATAAAATAAAAATTTTGTAATTTGTGATCGTTTTATCTAGGTAACGATATAATTACTAAAGTAATAATTGCAACAGTTCTAAAAATTCATTGGGGCGGGGGGTGTCTATATAGAAATAATATAAAATCTATAATAAAATCTGAGGCGGATGAAAGCCCCTGAAAATCAAGGAATACAAATTTTTTCTCATTATAGATTTGCTGTCTGATTTTTATACCCGTAGAAACGTATGTTCGAATATAGACTCAAGTATATGTTTTTGATCAGAGTCAAATTCTGAGTTGATTTAGCTTTGTCTGTCCGTCCCGACGATAACTCAAAAACTAATTGAGCTAAATTCACCAAATTTTCACATATGATTTATTGTAATAAGTGCCAGAACCATGTTTAATTTGGGCACGATCGGAATACCGGTTCGGGTAGATGCCATACAACTTCAAAAGTTATTTGACTATATCTCAGAAACTATAGAAGCTGTAATATTGAAATTTCGCACAAGCAAATATATTAGTAGGGCCGATGTGCTTGATAAAATTCGTTAAAATTTCTTGGCTCTTTCTGGTAGCTGCCATACAACTTCAATAGTAGTTTGACACACACAGTATTTTGAAAAACACATTGTACTAAAATTTTGCATAAATTAATATGGTAATACGGCAACTTAAAGTCATAGTCTGTCCCATAGTCAGTTAGGGCATCTTTATTCCCACATAGAATAACAAATTCGTACGGGTATCACAGAGTTGACAAGGACAGCTCTATTTTTTCTCGTTAATATTACAAAAGTAAAATTTATGAGTTTATGAACAGGGATGATATCGTTTTTTTTTTGGTTCTTGTAAGTAATTACAATATCAAGTTTAATTAATCATCAGATTTTATCGTAATAATTTTTAATATGTTTAAGTTGATTTCTTTTGCTGTACATACTCGGAAATACTCTTTGCAAGTTCACTAGATAAGGAGCCTAATTGAAGTTGCAGTCTACTACATTAATTTCAGTGGGTTAAGTGTTGTAATTTTTGCAAATATGATGTTGATATGAGTTTGTATTAAAATTTTTATTTCTAAAATAAATTGCAAAGTATCTAAAAGAATGATATTTAAAAATACATCGATATAAAAATTATCTATTTGCCAAGCGACTTGAATTTGCTTTACTAATTTTAATAGAAATTTTATATTAGTTTGATGGTATCCTTCAGATCTCCGTAATCATGAATAGTTTTTTTTAATAATGTAATTAAAATTCATATAAAATCATAATTCAAATTCTCTAGTCCATGTTAAAATTCTATGTAATGCGATTTAAAAATATTCCTGCTAAAATTTAGATTTAGTAAATTTTATTTGAGCATTTTTGTATCGTTGTATTTTGATTAAAATGTAATACAAATAGAAAAACTTTTAAATGGTATGAGTAAAGTGAAATTTACAAAATGTATTTTTATTGCTATAAATATTTACGATATTGAATGATGTTAAGTTTTCTCTAAGCAAAGTTATACTTATTAATTAAGAAAAAAAAACAACGCTAAGTAGTTTATGCTCAACTAATTTTAATTTTAAAACGTTAACAATTAAGCCACAATCATTTTCATAAACAAATTTTACAAATTAAAGCAAATATGATAGGTGTACAATTAAATTGCTTCTTAAATATTTTATTATAAAACACGACCAAAATATTAATATGAATGAATGAGTGCATTTCAAAAAAATCATCATTGCGCATCAAAATATTTATGTATCTGTTGCATATTTTTTTATCGCTATAAACACAGTTGATACATACAAAACTACAAATATGTACATTATAGTGTCTGTATATTTGTTTACATAAAATTCATGTTTCCTTGAATTATAGCAGTGTTTCTGTTATGTGAACGAAAATAATCGACTGGCAATTTTTAATAAAGTTCTGTTGTTTTCCATTGCAATTCACATTGATTGCATGCACAACACTCGTTAACGTTTCCTTTCTTTAATTTTTATTATCGTGTTTGCAAAATTACTGCACCATTTATACAACATAGTGAAAATTTTTCTCGTAAGTAACAATAACAAAAAAAAAAAAAAATTTGAAAATTCGAATAAAAGTTTAACGACCTAATTTATATAAAAACAAACAAAAATTTATTAACTTAGAAATTATGTCATAGACACTTGAAGTCACACACGTATGCGATAAAGTGGGTGGATGTTCCAATATTTATTTATTTAAATGTACTTTGAATTTAAATGTAAAAATATGAAAAAATGTACCGTATAATTCCAATCAGTCAGTCCCCGTCTACTCACAAAACTTTTACACAATTCTAGATGGAAAAATAAGTTAGAACATTTTAGTTAAAATGTTAGTCATCAAATTTTTGAAATTGTGGTATAATTGCACACAACTCGTGATGCCAAACACTTTTTACAATATTTTCAATCTGTAAAAAGTGTTTCGTATCACGTGTTGTGTTCGAATTTAACGGGAGTATTTATCTGCATGGCATATAACATTATTGACTGGATCACATACAAATTAAGACGCGTTTAAAAATTGTGGAGCTACTAATTTACTTAATTTAACATTTATTTGTATCTTTAATTTGTGATTCCGTGCAACTTAGGTATAGATTCCCAGAATGTAATTTTTTTATCTTGTTTATAAGTCCTAGATTCTTAAACGATTCCTTTGTTTGAAACGCAATCGTTTGGAACTATATTTTTGTATTAGCTGCAAACAGTTCAAGACATAACTACAATAGTACAATAATCTGCGATAGCATGGTTTGGAAATAATTGAGAATTTTTCTAATGATAGTTCTGCAGATCGATCTATTATTGAAAATTCAATATTCTTTACACATTAATTTCACAATCTGGTGAATTTAATTATGGTTAAATGAATTTTTATGGCAAGCTTTTAAAATAATTCATATAAAAACTAACAGGACTGAAATTTTGAATAAATGAATGCTGTTACAAGAACATTAAGTGTTTCAACTTTAATACTAGTACTGCATTTCTTGAAAAACTTAATAAAAACACCATATGACGTTAGTTGTTATGTAATTTAAAAATTAATCTTCGTATTACAACATCATCAGAGAACCAATCCACTGTATTATGTAATTCATGTTACAATTATCTTCATGAGTGACACTTATTTATAAGTTGAATAGCCTGTTGCTGTTTTAATCTTGTATTTATTTTTTTAAAGCTCATAGAAATATTTGAATAAAATAATCATCACGATTTATTTTCCACTTAAATCTATTTTCTATAATTCAATAAATTTGCCTCATTCCTAAGAGAATTGGTTCAAAAAATGATTCACATCAGAAAATACCAAAATGTCACATTCAAGCCAGGAAACACCTATTACATATGACAGGCGATTTTAGTTCCGTTTGAATGCGTAATTTGTAAAATTATCGTGGTCAGTCGGGGTTAGCGTTTTTCAAAAATTAAATAATGAACTTTTGTGTAAGTTTTGGTCTTAGTTTACATTAATATAGAATAAAATTAATTAATTATTTATCTCATCTCATTATTTGAAATTTTCGCGGTTACTTTATTATTTTTCCTCCAAATATTAAAAGATCGATATCGAATTATTGATACTTCCCTTGTAAGAAGTATGGATACCAAATATCGAATCGAATCTATTCTCATAATGTCCCTAATTGTCACTCTAAGTAGCAAAAATGGCATTTTTCGATAATTTATTGTATTGGCCATAAACAAAACGTAAACATATTTTAAATTTCGCAAGCGCAGAGAAATGACAAGCAGCTTGTTTTTTTTGTCAAATAGCATGAACAAACATTCAAATGACACCGTGATCGTTATAGAATTACCCGTTATGTCAAACCGGTTTGTTTTCAAAATTTCACTTCGATTTTCTATTAAACAAAAATTTCTAACACTCTTTACTTTGAAGTTACTTTTCATTAAAATAAACAAATTTTTGTTATAATATAGGTAATTCTTTAATTAGCTATTGAATTCGAACAAAATGTTAATGCACAATATATTTTTTTTTGATTCAAAGAGAATGTGCTAGATACTTTAAAAATCATATGTTTGATGTATTTTTACTTACATCGGATTTTGATATGCAACAGCAAATGAATTGATAATGCTACGAATATGTGCTCTATAACCACAGATTATTTATCAAGCCTTGCCGATAATACCAAAATAATTTTTGGCTTTGTTGAATTGTTTGACAAATCTTACCAAACAATAAAATGAATATTGATTTTTAAAATCGAGGGTTAACATAGACTTTTAATCAAAATTAAATTAAATATGTATTTTTTGCTAATATATCCAAACGTTCTTAATTATAACAACATCAGCAAATTTGCAATACTTTTAACCACCTTACACATAATTTGAAATAATTTTAGTAAACTCGACTATAATCTTTCTTGTGCGTATTCAACCGTATTCAATCCAATTTTTAACGAATTTATTTTATTTTATTTTTAGTGCTAATACTCAAATGGACAATGATGTAACACCAGTATATTTAGCGGCTCAAGAAGGTCATTTAGAAGTTTTGAAATTTTTAGTATTAGAGGCTGGTGGATCTCTGTATGTAAGAGCACGGGATGGCATGGCTCCCATTCATGCTGCATCACAAATGGGATGTTTAGATTGTCTCAAATGGATGGTTTGTATTTTTTGATTTTCTTTTTGCTTGTTCTATATAAAAACTATTCTTATTTCTGGATAACCTACTTTAAAAAAATAATTTTATAATTAAGAACTTGTTTTAAAGAATTCTCGCTTTAAACAAAAATGAAAAAAGATATCTATAATAAAAATTCTAAATGCTTTACAAAAAAAAAAAAAGTGGAAATAGAAAATAAAATCTGTCTTATTCGTTGTAACTGTTTGCATTTTAATATCAGTTGCTGTCATTTAAGTAACTGCGTTTCTTTACTACTTTTTTCTCTTTTTTTTCTGAATGCGCGGAATAATGCAATAAAAAAAAATAATCCTATTATGCAGGTATTTCAGTGTACATTGCATATTTTAAAACCTCCAGAGGAATATAAAAAAGTAGACCATTTCTAAAATTATAAAGCGACGACAATGAAACGCTTTATTTTTAACTATTAAAAAAGTTGATTTTTACTAATATGGGCAAATAATAAAAAACTCAAATGGTTTTTTTGTTCTAAGATTTATTTCATCCCAGTCAAACCCCTTGTTACTATTGATATTCAAAGCAATGTTGTTTATAAGACAATAAATTTACAAGAAAGGAAATATTAAAATTTAATTAACTTTAATTGATTCACAAAGAAATAAAAAAGGAAGCCTTTTACAGTAATTGTGAATTAGAAATTGTGAATTTCAAGCAAGATTTGTGTTTTTGATAATAAATTGTTACTTTGATGTACTTCTTCCTTTCAAATTCATTTTAACATTATATTCAATCGGGAAATAGATCAATTGGAAAGCAGTGGTAACTTTTTATTGCACATGCAATTCAAACCATTGATACATAGGTGTGCTGCTTCTGAATAATCAATTACATATAAACTGTTATTCGTCAACTTTAATTAACTATCATGATTGATTTTTTATCATATTTCATTCACTACATTGACCTATTTGTCAATATTTCTAAGAAAAAAAGTTTATTCACTTAGTCATTCACATAATATTAAAAAATTATGACTAAAATCACAAGTACAGATAAAAATCTTATGCTCTACTTATATCGGCCGAAAAAACTGGTATACAATTCGAATTTATCAAGACTACGAATCTCTAACGTGAAGTTTGATTCTCGTAAAATTACAACTATAAACAATCAAAAATCAATAACTACCCACGGTTCTAAGCTTGATGCTTTGAAAAATATGCCTGTTAGTTTTATTCCACAAAGTTTCTACGCCGTTCAAGATATGAAATTTGGAACACAAAATATAAATGTTAGTACTATTATAATAATTTCGAGTCCCTGTCGCAAAGGTGCAAATTTTTGACAAACTATTGTGGCCAATTCAAAAGCTTTTAAATGTCAGAAATTATCTAAAAAAAATTGAATTATTATAAAAAATTATTAATAAATGTGAGCCTGAAATCGCCATTTTATGCGAAAGAATACTCACGTGCCTCATTATAACTAAATTAATTATAATCAATACAGCAATTCCAGTTTTATATTGGCTATCTCCTGAATTTATGTAAAATTATGTGATAATGAGAGAATAATTTCAATAGATCATTTTTAGCACTTTACCCAAAAAATATTAGAAAAATTTGCTTATTAGTTTCAGTCTGTCCGACCTTCTATTCGTTTATCTCTGCATAAAGCTTCTCAACCCTTTGTATTAGAAACCTCAAATATACATAAATAGATCTTTAGTATTAACTTATTTCTATAAAGCAGAAACGCTGAAAGGTAGTGAAATTTGAGTCATAGCACTAGCATTAAGATCCAAAAGACATTTTGTCTTTATGGTCCTGTAAAATGAACAGTTATTTCAAACACGTTTTTTTTTCAAATTTTTGATGTAATTTTTCTTTTAGACGGTAAGAAGTACAAGCTTGAAATTTTATCTTTTAGATGCTGATCAATTATTCATTTCGTTCTAGAAGAAAGTTTTTTCCACCCCCATCTTCTTTCAAGTTATCATCTCTCAAAAATTGTAAAACTTGAATTTCCGGTGCCTTATAGTTCAGAAACTTCAAACATTTTAAATTTCGACTACAAAAAAGAAGCAAAAAGATAATGGTGAATTCCATACAATCAAAAAACATAATTCATCTTAACTCACTTATTTAATCGTCCAGTTCCAGCTTTATTTATTGCTTTGGTCAATTTATTTTTGTTTTTTTTTTTTTTCTCATCCTAAGTATATGCGATAATTTGATATGTTTTGATATACATGAACGGTAGTAATAAAATAATGTAGTAGATTGTTTTTAAAATCTATATTTATTCGAGGAAAAGTGCTGTTTTTCATAAAACTTGCTTTGATCCAACTTTATTTTATTTCATCTTATTAATAGCCTTTTGTTTGTTTTTTGACATAAGACAATTATTCTACTGCAATATAGTTTAATTTCCTTTATATTTCGAAATTTATGAAGCAAAGCATCTTTCTTTACATAAAAATTTTAAACATCCTTATCAATTTAAAACTGTTCAATGATAAAATTTCTACTTTATATAGATTAAATACAATGCATTCTAAGACTAATGTTCGAGCAATAATTCAATATCACCATATTAACCAGAATTCAAATACTGTGCGGTTTATTATATTAAAGCAATTTTATTGAGTACAATATTGAATGTAATATTGAATAAACACAAATTCATAAGGATAACAGTTTATTTATAGACGTTTTGCATACCAAAGAGTTGTATGTCTCGATCTATTTTCTGTGTCATGCAACATTAAATAATATTCTTTTTGAATATTTCTTTGATATTTGAAACATTTTATGTAACTGTATCTAGTTCTAAATAATTGCTAAAATAATACTTAATCTTCAACGATTTGTACAAAATCAAAATGAGAACAAGTTTACTATATATTTATAGGAATATAAATACATACACATTTACTTGCGTATAACATTCACCTACATTTTTGTTTTCAAGAAATATTTGCAGCATTTTTAAAATAATGGATTCAATGAATGAGTAACATTAAAATTTTAGACTAGAAGTTCGATATAATAGAAATATCTATAGTACTGGGATTTATTTTTGAAAAACTTCTAATAAAAACAGGCTATTTTCAAACTTCGTTTATTGCATAAGATGTAAATATATCGTAAATTTAGTCTTTAACATTATAGATATACATAAAAGAATGTATGTATTATGAATGCATGTAAGAAGACCAGTTTAAACGTTTTAAAGGTAAAACTAGTATTCAACTGTAGTAGGAACACAGGTTTTATTAAATAGGTCTACATTGATATGTATATGTAAAAATTTAAAATTTATTTTCTAAGTCATATAAAAAGATAGAGACACAATTTACATAAAGAGTGAATAAAAAAGGTGGGTTTTTGTTTTCTTTTGGTTTTGTTTTTGTGATTTCACAGTTAAAAAAATTTTTTAATTCTTAAACTATGTAATTTGTGTTCTACTTATTGAATTTTATTATCGAATGCAATATTTCAGATACAAGCATTAAAAGTCAAGGTTCCAAGTTATCATTATTAGAATATGTGCCCGCATAACATTATATTTTATTACAGAAATAATACAATCGAAACTGTTACAAGTAAATAAAATGATAAACTTTACCTTAATTTCGTATTTAATTTTTATTGTCCGCTTATCTGGAATCTTAAATATAAAAAAACCAATTTTGACTCTTAGTTTTCATAACTTTCATCTTCAAATTCTAAAAATATCTTGTAGTGGTTTACATAAATGATATGTTACATTCTACACCTACATTGAACTGGCAGTCACTTAGTTATGTAGGTACTCAACTGTTATTCTAAAAACTCTCATTGCAACATAATATATAATTATAGAATAATAGCGCAAGTCTCGGACGGTAAGTACAAATTCCTCCAAATTTTATATTTTCTGTAAAATATTATATACAGAAAGCTATAGTATTTTTATAGTTAATATAAATTTAGTTATTAGTAGAGCTTTAGTTATTAGAGAATAAGAAAGTGATTTTCTTAGGAAATTTGTGAGTTAGTTCAGTTGACAAATAAAGCTCGGATATTGAATTTGAAGAAAGTGTGTTAATCAATTTCATATATAAAGCCAAAAATCGGCGTCTAGTGAAAATTTGTTTTGCGAGCCAAAAAATTGTTAAATGATTTAACAACAAGAGTTAAAATATGAAAGAACGTAACAACAAGAATTGAAATATTAAAAAAAAATCCTTTGATTATTTCTTTATGTATCATGCAAATTTGGACTGTAATAAAAGTTCAGTTGATCAATAAAAATTATATTATAGATAAATATAACTTTTATTAAAAATGTGTTGAGTGAAAATAATTATACATGTGTGCACTACTGACAGACCAACAGGCCAATAGATCATTCAAGTTTCCTCAACATATGAGTGAATTTCCGAAGAAAAATTGACTTGGTGTCATTAGGATTTATCGATTTCGACCATCTTTATTGTCACGTATAATATGCGATTAGTAAAGATTTGGAATTTTTTCCCGTTTCAATTTCTAAAACATTTTATTTTACAAAATTCCTCACAATGAGATTTACAGGGAAATATATCCTTTTATTAAACGATATAAACTCAATTACTGCCGATATTTACAATTTTACAGACATCATTTATAGGTTAACTATGGAGTCTTCAGAAAAATAAATTTTAAAAATTTTTGAAAACATGTTGATCAATGTATAGCAAATTTTTACAAAATTTTATAAATTTCATTTTTCAATAAGAAAAGCCATGTGTTTGGAAATGATTTATTTTCTTTCTCTGAGAAGTTTCGAAATACCCGATACGAAAAAGATGATTTTAACGTCAAACATCATTCCCATACTTGTTGTCTGTCAAACTAATTGAAATCTTATTCTTAAAATTTCACCACATATTTTACATACATACATGCATTTGTAGGCACGTATATGCCATCCATATCTGTGTCCATATGTGTGTATGTATTTTCAGCATTTATTAATTTTAGCACATATGAAATTATTTCATTTATATAGCTCCAAAGTTTGAATGACAACAACACATAAAAACGTATGTAAAAGAACTAGTTTAAATGAATCGCTTTTTTCTTATTTTAAACTTGTATTTTAACATGTTTGATTCAAACAATATCACTTATGTATACATTCAGGATAATTTAAAATATTCGTGTACATGTAAATAATGGCCTTGACTTTCAATAATGTGTAAAAAAATTGACGTTTAAAACTGTTATTATTTATGTTTCTCCTGCTACTCTCTTTTTGTGGTGAGTTAAAATATAACAATCAATTGTTGAATACAAAGACATAACAATTTATTTTTCTTGAAAACTTTCTAATAATATAATTTAAGTAAAAAATAATAAAAGATTTATTGTTTTAATGACATAAATTGATTTTTTTAATATAACTATATGTATATGCATTTAATTCTTTTGGAAAGTTTTTAAATTTAATGTTTTATTATTAAGGCAAGTGACAAAAACTGTTATACAAACTTAAGAAAATCACACGTACAATGTAAACGGGAAATTTTGAAAATGAAAATATTTATTGTCAATATTGACAGTTTAATTTTGCAAAAATAATCTTGACAATTTAATTTATATTTTATGTTTATAAATATTGTAAATGTTATATAGATTAAAAAGTTAAATTATTTTGCACTTTGATTTATTTATCTGTTATACAACTCTGAATGAAACGTAGAGAAATTTTTTTGAATTGTGAAGAGAGTTTTCATGAAATCTACATATTTTTCACATCTAGAACCGCTCCCTGAAAATTTATATAACAGGTTCACATAATGGGTCACATGTGAGACGCATGGTCGTAAGAAAATATTACGCATAAAATTTGAATAAAATCCAAGCAAAAAGGTTAAAAATATGGATATTATACTCCAGTATATATATGTTTCTAATAATGGTCGAGACCCGAAATCGAAAATACAGCACATTAAAATAACTGACATTTATATCTAATAGTGGTTCTTTCATCGCATTTACGGAGTTGATAGGATCTTTTGATAAATTATTTGCACAACTGTCATTTAAATACGATGTGGATCCAAATCGCGTTTATGTATCTAAGAATGATTTATACAATAAGCAGTACTCCCGGCGAAGGAATGTATCACGTAACCAATCTTTTTATTCTTCCGTGCGTAAAGAATCTACTTATCATAGCAATTTTAGCTTCAGCAAATGATCCTTTTCAAGACTCCATAATATTGTTTAAAAAGAAAATATTAGAATATTTAATTGTTTAAACTGATTTTACAGCAATTTTTAATATGTGCAAAAAAATAAATTAATTCAAACTTAATTTTTTTGTTTTCTTAATTTTAATTAACAGTTAATGAAATCTGGCATTATAAATTCAAAATTTTAAATTTAATTCAAAGTGTATCATTAAATATGTTAAGAGTTAATGTTGGTCAAGCCTCAGTAATTAGTTATTTACTTACTTATTTCTAATTTTAATCTTATATTTTAAATGAATACTCTGACCACAATATTTTCTAAGCTGAGTAGCACATTTTCATTCGCCTACATACATACATACACACTTGAACTCATTCAAAAATATTCTATGATTTTTTTCTCCTTCACTCTAGTAATTAAAACAAGAAAAAATAGAAATATATGTTCAGTTAGACGTTAATCTTTTTAAAGTTTCAACTTAAATTTATTTAACTGATGAGTCTACATATTTTTTCTAGAATTAACGAACCGTCAATTTATTTTTACTGTTCACGAAATCTTCAATTAATAATAAATTTAATATTTGCTTTCTATACTAATAATTTTACAATTATAACGTACAACAAAAGCAAAGATTGCAACAAAAAATAGTTTTCAACGATGCCGCGATTTGAAATAGCTGTAAAATTAAATATCACATGACATGAACTCATATACATATTATATACATATGTGTGTGCATAAATTATGAAATGAATATTTATTGTCTTATCTTAATGGCAAGAACTTACATTACATGCAATAATTTGAAATTATGACCTTGCATATTTATATCTGAACTTGGTACTCGTATGTGTGTATGTTCTGCGATCATATTATAATAAATCAAACCAAAAATGAAATTGCTCAGTTTTCTTCTACAGACTAAATGGACTTTATGCAGTTTGGACAACAACAAACAATTCAAATGCATTTTGATTTTGATATCGGCTAAAAAAATTGTCTAAGCTTTTCAATAGATAAAAAAGTTGAATACACCCGAATACACCCGAACCTGTGCAAAAACTCGCTCCCATTTGAGAGAGAAGATTAAAAGAACGAAAGAACCTCAAATTATTGTAGAACTAAGGCCACTTTCTATTTAAAGTCGTTAAAAAACAATAAAAACGCATATTTTGTAGAAAGTTTGCGCTTTTTTCAGTGGTTATCTGCATTCACTCAGAAATTATTTACCATACAAACAATTTATTTTGCTTAAACTTTGCCTAAAATATTTCTGTATTATGTGTGTTAAATTTGTAAAGACTTTAATTTTCCTTATTATTGAAATTTAAAATTTTTAAAAATTTTAGGCAAAAATTTTTTTTTTAAAATTTGATGAAAATGCAAGATACTCTAATGAAAAATTTTGATTTCAGGTTGAAGAGCAGGGTGTTGATCCTAATTTACGCGATGGTGATGGTGCTACACCATTACACTTCGCTGCATCGCGTGGTCATTTATCATCTGTAAGGTGGTTGCTTAATCATGGAGCGAAATTATCATTGGACAAATATGGCAAAAGCCCAATCAATGATGCTGCAGAGAATCAACAAGTTGAGGTACTGAAGATTTATTACGTATTTAAAAACAATTTTTTTTAAATTCTTTTTATTTTACAGTGTCTAAATGTTCTTGTCCAACATGGTACGACAGTAGATTATGTGTCACAAAACGGAAATAATAAACTCGGTAGCGTTCGTCAGAAAACTGCAATGAAATACAACAACACAAGTAGTAAATCAAGTCGTAGTAATACAATTAAATCAAAATCTTCGTCTGGTAGTTCAGATGTTGAACCATTTTATTTACATCCACCATCAGCAAGAAAGAGTCATGATTCTGCTTCATTTGGTACTCAATCTAGGACATCATCGGAAAAAATCTATACTGGCGTAATGCCTAACGACGGTTTATATGTGAACCCAATGCGAAATGGTTCAATTACGCCACCATCACCTAACGGGAGTATATCCGGGGAATCGTTTTTTTTACATGATCCCCAAGAAGTTATATATAACCGAGTTAAAGATATTTTTGACTCGGATTGTAGTAGTAACAAAGATGGCCATGCCAGCTCAAAAAATTTAAATAATCACACGAATGCTTTGACAGTCCAAGCTGAAGTTCATTCTAGCAGTAGTGGTGCTGCAAGCGGTTCAGATGAATCAATTTCAGTTCGTTCGAGTACAGACTCGCCAAAATCAAGTGGTAGATTAAATAATAATAATAACAATAATAATAATCGTGGTAATTTTTCCGTTTCTATAAATGGTAGTTGTAAAAAGTCTAAAATTAATGGTTCTGTTAAAAATACTAGTAATGACAATCATGATTATGAAGATATTTATTTAGTTAGAGAAGAATCTAAATTAAATGGTGCTAGTAATAAAACAAATATTCGAATTATTGGTGGTAATATGATTAAAGATAGATATAATAATCCAGGCAGGAGCCGTTCTAAAGATAGCGGTTCACACAGTAGATCAGCTAGTGCCAGTTCAACCAGGAGTAATGATGTCATAGTGCAATATGGTAGTCATGTAAGTTAAAATTTTACATAACAATTTTTAATTGCCAAAAGATTGTCATTTTAAGTGAAATGCTAAATATCTTACAAGAATATTATATATAAAACATTAATTTTTATAAAAACTTAAAAATCTAAATGTTATCTAAAATTATTATTAATTCTTGTATATTTTTTGTACATTACCGTGAAATACACCGTCTTTTTCCCAACCCTTTCTTGACTTTAAGTACATTTGCTGCAAAATATAGTTGCACATAAAAATTATTATTTGCTTTTTTCAGAATCTTAATAATCGTGGGTCACTCTGTAAACGTAATAAATCAAATTCAATCAGTAACTTAAACAGTAGTAAATATGATTCACCTAGAAAGGATACGTATACAGTAAAGAATATCAATATTAAAAATCAGCTTAATACACATAATAGTGGTATTAAAAGTGATACATATGAAAGTGTTTGCCCACCAGAAGATATTGTTGAACGTACTAAGCAAGCAAATAAAAATAATTCAATTATTCACAACAATTTAAGCTGTAAAAATAACACAAATAGTCGACCGCTAAAACGAGTTGTATCAGCACCACATACACAAACAACGCCAAAAGGTAAGCCAAACTTTCAATTCTTTTTATTTAAATTTAAATATTATGTTATACAAATAATAAAAGTTTTGTTTCATTTTCCTTCATGTTACTTATAATATTTTATATATATTTATTTTTTAGCACATGGTCCACCACCCCCGCCATTGCCACCTCCACTGAAAGCGACAGCCCAACGCTCCTTATTTTCAAATGAAATTCATAATGATGATCATAACAACGATAACAATAACCTATGTTGTGATAGCCCAGATTCAGATTCCGGTTTAGAAGTAGTCGAAGAACCAACTCTGAGACCATCAGAATTGGTAAAGGGAAACCATAACAGAACGATGTCAACGATTTCAGGTATGAAAATATTAACTCGTTAGTTTTTCAATTGTCTTAGTATGTTAAGAATTAAGAATTACAATTTAGCAAATATTATTTCTTGCACTTATATATAATAGAGAACATCTCTAATATCCAAATTACAATTATAATGTGTTGTTGTACAATTCAGCAATTTACACTTAGAAAATTAATTGTGTGGAAATGCATTGGAATTTGGTAGTCAGAACTAATTTTTAAACGAACGTACATTAATTGGTCTATAACTTTAAAACGTTAATATATTTTTCTTCTTTAATATTTCAATTGTAAAAATAATTTACAAGATCATGCATAGATTTTGAACGCTTATGGAGAATTTGCAACTTAAGTAGTTTGCATATACTAAGACTTGAACAGCTTAAGGTCTGTTTCAAGTCCCAAATTATAAAGCAAAATATTATTAGTCGCATGAGTATATGTCGAGCTATTATGTGAAATTAATTTTTTTAAGTTTAGTAAGAAATAACCAGTTTTGGTTCTACAATTAAAAACAAAACAATTAATCAAATGCATTAACTAAAATCGTAGACTTATAATTTGCAGTAATAAATATTATATGAAAGCATTGTCACTTGGAACTTCTAAAAAGAAGTATTAATAAACATTGTATTGGGTCCTACCAATTATTTGTATAATTAAAATATTAAAGAAAAAATATGTATTAACGTTTTAAAGCTATAGACCAAAATGAAGTAATTATAATCAATGGAAAGACCATATAAATTTAGTTTTCTTATTTTTTGGGTCTTAACGTTGTCCAAGCAAAATTTCAATCAAATTAAAATTGCATATTAAATTTCTATGGTTTTTAATTTTTGCTATATTTTCTATGGGGGAAAATTAAAATTATTTGTTTATTATAATTAGTGATAATTTATTACCGCAGATTTTTAAAAGAGTTAGGTTATGATTGAATATACAGTGGTGGTCATAGAAATAAAGCCACCTGCCTTCATATTAAATTATATTACTACTTACATCTATAGGCATCATTATTGTTCTCAAAAAGTAAAGTTCCATTCTTGAGTTTTCTAGTTATTGAAAACGGTCTAGAATTCTCAGAAGAACTCAAATTCTCTCAAAAGAACTCAAGAATTCTCGGAATACTGGCGAAATATCACTTTGTCATCAGATAACTAGCCATAGTTTCTGCTATCAGAAATTATGAAGCTGGAAATTATTTCATATTTCCCTTAAGTATAAACGTACAGTTAAGAAATCAAGAATTTGTTTTTTTGTATGGTTCCAATTTGTAGATATTGTTATTAATGTCATTTGTAAAAATGTAATAAATAGAAAATTATGTATGTATATTGTGAAAAACAAAATTAGGTCAAAAAGAAAATTTTTTTTTTACAATTTAATTTATAGAAATTTTTATAGCCTTATAGAAATTGCTAAATGAATCTAATATTTAAATAACTTGTCAACATACACAATTTAATTAGTTTTGTTCTACAGAACTAATAGATTTTATAAAAAGCAACATTCTATAAAAAAATATATGTAAATAAGCACAATTCCTAACATAGAAAACAATTCCAAGTATTAAGAATTTAAAAAATTTTTTAATTAGAAATTTTAGCTAAACATGGAAAATTCAAAAGAATAAAATATGCAAAAGATGGAAAACATCTTCATAACAATACCATTGAAAAGAATATTGAAAATAGCTAAAGAAGAGCTGAACTCTGGGTATACAAAAATGGAATATAAATATTTTTTCAGTTTTAATGTAAAAACAAGTATTACTTAAACCTAAGTAAGTTTGTTAAATCTAATTGAAAATGTTAAAGAGAAGAACTCTTTATATTCCAATTATTTAACAAATATCTTTGTAAATAGCACATAAATGCATAGAACTAGATTATTTTCTCGTAAAATTTTTTATTAAAAATATTTAATTAAAAATGGAATATAACTGATAATTTTATAAATACGAAAAGTAACTTCAGCATTTTCACGGTAATATTTTGGAAAATTATTATAATTTCTTTGAAAATGTTTGATATATACTCTAGAACTGCTGCTTACTATAAAAAAATTAAGAAAAGATTAAGAAGGACTATAAAGGTTTAGTTAGACTTTGTAGTAAATTAAAAGTCAGAAGAATAGAGAACGAATACAAAGTTTTTAAGAAAATTCAATAATTATTGCCTTGGAAAATTATACAAAACGATTCTTAGCTGATGGAATAAATTAAAAATTTCAAATATATTCCCGAATTGTATGTCACAAAATTTGAATTTATGGATAAAATTTCTTTGTAAATGAAATAGAGCTTCCGTACTACTCCATTTTGCGTTTCACTCTACTTAATTTCATCGACTTCATTTCTTTTAAATGTATATTTTTCAAAATTAACAGAAATCGAAGATGATTTAACATGGGTTTCCATTCCTGTTAAAATTTCGCTAAAATCTTCCTTGTTAATTTTGAAACTAGTAAACTAGTAATGAAACTTGATGATTATTTTCTTAAAAATTAACCCATATTCAAAAATTTATTCCCGCAGAAGCTCCACGTTTAAGCTGATTTTTTATTCTGTTTCCGGTTTTTATTGTTCCTTGGTAAAACAAGTTTGATCTAACTTTTTTATTTGATTTCCAAACAAATTATCTAAAAAATTCACGAATAACTTATAAAATTATATTAAATAAATAATAACTTTGTATTTAAAAATAAATATTAACACTTGATTAAATTTTCCGAATTAAAATGTAATGTAAGAGACTGTTTTTTAATTTAAATGCAGAGCGCCGCTGAAAACCAAATTCATAAAATGTCCCGAAATCAAAAGTTTTTGAAATAATTATTTTGAAATTATCACGTTGGATTTTATATGCTTTTCCGAATTTTTAATTTTTCCACTTTTTCTGAACAGAACCAAAATACTTTTTCCAAACCTTTAAAAAAAATGACTGTTCTGACTACGATATAACATTAAACTAATATTTTAAGCGCGGATGGAAATAATAACAAATAAAAACATTTCAGTCGATTTTAGCTGTCTGAACTATACTCATGATAATATAATATACCCTAGTCAGCCAGCTAAACAAAATTTTCGAATCGTTTATAAACTATAATTTCGAACTTTCTAATCAATTTGATGGTATCTTAATTAGTTTTTGAAATTATTAAAGGGATTTGGCGTCCGTTTTTTGGGATGCGCGTGGGATAAATTTTATTGATTATCTTCAGAAGGGAAAAACAATCAACGGCGAGTATTATGCAAACTTATTGCAGCGTTTGAGTGAAGAAATCAAACTAAAGGGCCCACATTTGTCTGCTTCCTCACGCACCCTATTCACCAGAATTAGCCACCTCAGTTTACTTTCTATTTCCAAACTTGAAAAAAAGGCTTGGTGGAAGAAGATTTTTTACAAATGAAGAGCTAGAGTCTGGCGTTGATGGCTATTTTGCAGAGTTTCCCAGTTCTTACTATAAAAATGGTATCGAAGCAATTCAACACCGCTGGCAAAAGTGTGTCGACCTAAAAGGGGACTATGTTGAGAAATAAAAATAAATTTTGTCAAAATTTTTGTGTTTTCTTGCTTAGGTTACTTAATTCTGGGACAGCCCTCGTATTGTTACCCGCCTAGGAGAAAAAAAAACAACTTATGAAAGTTTTGCGATATTTGTGCTTTTCGTTCGTGAGGTCGTTCGTGCAAAAAGCAAACAATCGGGCAGGCGAATATGTCCAAATTAATGCAGAATTTTATCTGTAGCAAGAATGCAGGGTGGCTCATAATAAAGTGCATCCCCATATGCCATTGTATAAGCCTTCATTAATAGACAAAACTTTTGTATGGAGACAGTGTTCACAGCTCTACAGGGTCGGAATTACAGGGGCTTAAAGTCAATTTCGACTGATTTTTTTACTTTTTGAAATTTTAAGTATAACTCCGCGACTGTATAAGACAGGCGCATTAACAATTATTATTTGGAAACCTGTTCATTTTTCGGAATCACATGACTTTAAAGTTGCATACATGTTCATACGGCAGACGACTGCTTCAAGTGGTTATAAAATCAAGTACATTATAATGATGTTGATTTCGATTTTTGATTTTTTTATTGATTTCTTGATGACAAAAAAAATCTGATATGATCAGCACTTAATCAACGATATTTTATAATTTGCATAACACATAGCTTTAAATTCCAATTAATCTGTTCTTATTAGTTGTCGAGATAATTTCTTAAGATTATGAAAATGTCATTTGTACTCTTTTTTTTAAATTCAAATAACCTTCTAACAACTTTTCATTCAACATAACAACCCAGATAAATAATTCCTCTATTCTTGCATTTCCACGCAACCGGTGAAAAGAAAAATTAATATAAATTAAAAAGTTTTGGCATAAGATAAAGTTCATTCGTTTTTAGTAATTTTTTCAAATTATGCAGGCACTCAAAAACTCAAATTTTAAATGACATTCGGACAAAATGGATAATTCTACTTTTTTTACTTCCAAAAATTTGAATAATTTCACAAAATAATGAAATCAAAATAATTTTAAATGAGAAAGTTAGCTGCAATGAACTTTGATATTTGCATCTGCTCCATGGTGGTTTTGAAACGTTAAGCTTCATTAAAATTTTCTAACTTATTTATAGCGAAATGAATAAAACTGAGCACTTTGTTTGTTACAAAATATTTGCTAGTTGAAAAACCGTGAATTAGTGCTCTATATTTTCAATGAACAGTTAATTCAAACGACGATTATAATCTTTGTAAAAAACTCTTTAAGTTGGAGATGGCAATATAATTTATTTAATTCAAAGTGGATTTCTTTGATAGAAGATTTTTATTCAGATTTTAGCTTACTAACAATTTTTTTAAATACGCTATGTCGTTTTGCTTATGAAACATTGATATTTCAATTCAACCGAGGTGCAACACATTTTTGTAAATAAAAATTCTTGTAAATAGCATAAATATTTGATTGGATTTGATTTGACGACTCTTA